TCATGTATTTGAGCTCTTTCCAATTTTTTTCTTGCAGTTGATTTCTAGTTTCATAGTGTTGTGGTTGGAAAAGATGTATAACTTCGGTATTTTTGAATTTGTTGAGATTTGTTCTGTAGGCTAATATGTTATCTTTTCTGGAGAATGTTCCATGTGCACTTGAAAAGAATGTGTTATGCTGTTTTAGGATGATATGTTCTGAATATATCTGTTAGATACAGCTGGTTCAATAGGTCATCCAAAGCCACTGTTTCATTTTTGATTTTCTGTTTGAAGGACATCTCCATTGTTGTAAGTGTGGTGTTAAAGTCCCCTACTATTATTATATAGTGTCCTTCTTTGTCTCTTACTATAGTTTTTGTTTTAACGTCTGTTTTGTCTGATATAAATATTGTTACCACAGCTTTCTTTTCACTTCCATTTTCATGATAGTTGTTTCTTCATCCCCTCATTTTCAATCTGCTGGTGTCTTTTTTAGATCTGAAATGAATCTCTTGTAGGCAGTGTATGGATGGTCATGCATTTTTATCCATTCTTTTACTGTATGTCCTTTAATTGGAGCATTTAGTTCATTTACATTCAAAGTAATTGGTTGGTATGTACTTATTGCCTTTTTGTTATTTTTTAGTTGTTTTTGTAGTTCTCTGTTTCCTTTCTTGCTCTCTTCTATCATACTTTGTTGGCTTTAGTAATGTACTTGGATTTCTTTCTCTTTATTTTGTGAATATTTATTGCCAGTTTTTGATTTCAGATTACCTTTCACTTTCTATATAACATCTTCTGCATATAGCAGTCTATGTTAACTTGATGGAAACTTTAGTTTAAATGCATTTTTTAACTTTTCTCCCCCTGTGTTTTATGTTTGTGATGTCATACCATATGTCCTTTTATTTTGTGGATCCATTGGCTGATTTTTATACTTAATTTTATCGCTTTTTTGCTTCCTACCTCTTTTTTTTTTTTTTTTTTTTTTTACTTCTGCCAAGGGTCTTTCCTTTTCACACAGAGTCCCCTTTAATATTTCTGGTAGGGCTGGTTTAGTGTTGTTGAATTCCTTTAACTCTTGTTCATCTGGGAAGCTCTTCTCTCTCCTTCTCTTCTTAATGATAGCCTTGCTGGATAAGGTATTCTTGGTTATGGGTTTTTTTTTTTTTTTCACTCTGATTTTATCGTGACACTCATATATTTTTGACCTGCAATGTTTTTGTTGGAAACTTAGCCAATGGTCTTATGGGGTTTCCCATTTATATAACTATTTTTTTTTCTTTGGCTGCTTTTAAAATTCTTGGTCACTACTTCTTGCCATTTTAATTACTGTGTTTCTTGGTGTGGACCTCCTTGGGTTGATTTTGTTGGGGACTTTTTGTGCCTCCTGGATCTGGATTTCTGTTTCCTTCCTCAGATTCAGGAATTTTCAGCTATTATTTCTTCAAATACATTTTCTCCTTCTTCTCTTTATCTTTTCCTTCTGGGATCCCTATAATATGAATGTTGTGAAGCTTGATGGTGTTGCTGTGTTCCCTAAGTCTCTTCATTTTTTATTGTTTTTTTTTTTCTTCTTTCCTCTTTTTAGCTTGATTGCTTTCCATTACTCTGTCCTCCAGGTCACCAATTCTTTCTTCTGCTTCTTCAAGTCTACTATTCATTCCATCTAGTGTATTTTAAATTTCAGTTATTGAGTTATTTATCTCTGATTGGTTCTTATGTTTTCGGTCTTTATATTGAGGGTCTCACTGAGGTCTTTCACTCCTCAAGTCCAATGATTATCTTTATGACCATTCCTTTAAATTATCTATGAAGCGTATTATTTATCTCCATTTTGTTTAGCTCTCTTGCTGTGATTTTGTCCTATACTTATATTTGGAACATACTCCTCTGTCTCCCCATTTTGTTTAACTCTCTGGGTGTGTTTCTGTGTTTTAGGAAAATGACCTAGGCTTCCTGCTCTTGAAAGTAGTGCCCTTAAGAAGGAGTGGTCCTGTAGTGCCCTGCAGTGAAGTGTCTCCTATTCACCAGAGCCTGGTGCTTCAGAGGTGTCTCCTTTGTGTGTTGTGTGTTTCTTACTGTTGTGACTGAGCCACTTTTTCCTTCAGTCCAGTTGTCTGCAATGGCTCTCTTTACCTGTGATGGGCAGAGTTTGGTCCCTGTGCTGTTACTGGGCCAGTGTGGGGCTGCCTTTAGCTTGAGTTGAGTCAGACCAGGCATTTGCCAGAAATGCAGTAGCACCAAACTGTAGGGCGCTTCTGTGTTGTCCCCTGAGAAACTTTCATTGGTTATTGAGGCCTGCAGTGAGACCAGATATCTGCCCCAAGACTGCTGCTGGTGCCACAGCTGGACTGGGTTGTGTGGTTTTCTTCCCCTCTCCTTGCGGCAGGAGTCTCTTTGGAGTGGTGCTGACCCCTGTCATGGCTGCTTGCCCAGTGCCAGGCTTGTGGCACTGCTTTGGATGGGCTCTGGCCAAAGGGATGTTGGAGGGGGTGTATTTGCAAGGTAATGTGGGGGGTGGGACATTCACTGTTAGCAAGTGAGGTGAAGAAGGTTCCTGCTACTGGTTCCCACAGGTGTCTCTGTATTTAGGCTGAGAGGTGGGTGTGGGAAGTGGTGCCTACCAGCTCTTTTGTTCATTGAGAAGTCCCCCCAAACATCCCTGAACCTCCAGCACATACTCTGAGATTAATAAATAAGCCTCCCTTCCACCCAGGCATTTTTCAAACTGCTGTTTCTGTGCTGGATCTCAGCAGGGCTGTTTGTTGTGCTGTCTCTTTAAGGGCTGTGATTCTGCTCTCCAGGCTCTCTCAAAGCCCAGCCAGCTGATATTTAAAGTTCTAGTTGTTAAGCTCCACTTTGATTTTCAAAGCCAGATGTTATGGGAATTCATTTTCCCCTGTGGGTCCCCTGTGTCTGGGGTGCCTGGCATGTGGTCTCATCCTTTCCCCTCTTTGCACCTGCACCATCCCTCCCTCCCACAGTCTCATGGGTCCATTTAGCTCCCCACCACATCACTGGCCTTCCTACCCTCTTTGATGTACCTCTTCTCTACATTTAGTTATGGGGAGTCTATTCTGCCAGTCTTCATGGCATTTTCTGGGCTATCTACACTGATGTGGGTGTTACCTGGTTATATCAGTGGGATGAGGTGAGCTTAGGGTCCTCCTACTCTGCCGTCTTCCCTGGAAGTCTTTGGAGTGATACCTATTTTTATAAGTAGTTTCAGTCTTAAAAAAGTAGTTTCAATCTTGATAATATAACCTTGGTACAGAGATTAATCAATATGATAATAAGAGCAGAAATTCTCAAAGATGCATCTAGGTTCTTCACTCATGTTTTATTAAACAAAGTAACAGGCAGAATCATTTTCTGTAACATGTAATCATGTTTATGAAACTATAACAAACATTGCAGGTAAACAAATTTAAAAATAATCATGAAAAGAAAGATAAAAATTGCATGCTGCAATTTGTGAGGTATCATACCTCAAAATGACAGAAACACATTTTTAGGAGCATTTAACCTTTAAATTTTGAAATTACTTTTATAATTCAAATTCATTTAAAAATTTTCACTAAAGTCTTTAATGCAGAAAGAAATCTATTTCCACATATTCTATACAAATTACAGAAAAACACAATCATCTTTCAGCTGTTACCTTTGGGCATTTATCTGCATTTCTCTAAATAACATATTTTTATTTTTGCTTGTTAATTTCCCAGATTTGAATATTATTGGTTGACATCCCAGAAAGGAAAATGAAGATTTAGTTTCCATTTCTCTCCATCCATACACGTTCAGATTTGCTGTCTGTCTGTTCTCCTATTACAGTTATATCATAGTGTAAGTTGATGCAGCTTTCATTGTTTACGTTGAACTATGTAAACACTATCTGTAACTGAACTGCATAATATATTGTGAGTCTTTTTTTCCATTTCTTGCAATGTATTTTCCCCTGAAGCTAATAATTACCTTGTATTTTAATTAGTTCACTTTTTGTGCACTTGTCAGTAGTTCAGCTCCTTTCCCAAATTATCTAAATCTTGCCTTAGTGCATTGAAATATATCAGCTATTTAGTTCAGTTCCAAATTGGACTACTTTCCATGAGTGGTACATGTCTGTCATTCCAGGATACCTGTGTTCCCGAGATCCAGGTTTTCTGCATTGTATTTCCTCCTCTTTTCTGGTTTACACCCTTCATTTTGGTACAGCACATGTTTTGGTAGCTAAATAAGAAAGGGAAGCCAGGAGATAACATTTGGAGATGTTGCATACCTGAAAAAGGTTTTATTTGATAGTTCGGCTGAGTATAGAATTAAAGCTTGGATATAATGTTCCCAAAAAAGTTTGGAGGTGTTGCTCCATTGCCTTCTAGCTTTTTGTGTTGTTAAAAAGTCAGAAACTGTCTGATATCTTTTTTCTAAAGATTTATTTATTTGAGGTGGGGGAGGGGTGGAGGGAGAGGAAGAGAAAGAATATCAAGCAGACTCCTGCTGAGTGTGGAGCTTCATGAAGGGGTCAGTCTCACAACCCTGAGATGATGACCTGAGCAGAAATCAAGAGTCAAATGCTTAACTGACTGAGCCACCCAGGTACCCCAACGGTCCAGTTTCTGATCCTTTGTATGTAACCTGCTTTCCCTTCCCCACCCTCCCAAAGTTTGTAGTATATTCACTTTGTCCCAGTGTTGTTAAATTCCATGCCAGTGCTTCTTTGGTGAGGGCCTGCTTTAATGTATTATTCTGGGTAGTTAGTGAGTCCTTTCAATCTGGAAATGCATCTGGAAAATTCTGTATTTTTTTTGCTGGCTTTCTCTCCATGTTTTCTCATCTCTCTTTCTGGAACTCTATTACTATTAGTCATATTGAAGGTTGGAACTTAAGGCTTGATCCTTTACTTCCCTTTTTCTTTCATTTTTCATTTCTGTCTTTTGCTTTACATTTTGGAAATTTTTCTTCATTTTATCTTCTAAATTTTTAATCTAGCCTTTCATTTTATGTTTATTCTCCAGAGATGAACCATCCAGTCTCTTTCTTGGAGCATCAAAGCTTGGCTGCTGAAATTCTGGAGCTGATGGCAGAGAGATTAGTGGTCTCAACATTCAGTAAGTGAATTTTCCTTTAATTCCCTGATTTGCTGTATGCTCCCTTACTTTCCACTATGCCTAGTATTCCTTTAGGGCCCTGTAAGTTCCATCTCCAACTTCTCTACCCTGCTCTTTTAGGAGTCTGACCTCTTTGGAAATTACCAACTGGGATTGGGTTTGGCCAGTGGGAGGGAAGTGACTCTACACCTGTATTACAGGGAACAGAATGGCCCTTCTGTACAAATGCTTTTCTTGCTCGTGGTTGATGTCTTCTCCCTGCCCTTCCAGTCCTGCTTTTGGTAACCACTTCCTTCTCTTGGTAGCCCCAGGTACCTCCCCATACCATGGATGTTAGTTTTCCTTTGTCAAATTAAAATAGATATTTGGGTCATGTGTAAAGTGAAAGTACAGATATATTCTGCATTAAAATAATGAGACATATGTGTATGGAACTTGCAAAATATATGTTAGGAGGTATTTGGGGATGATTTAATTCTTGACATAGAATTCCTCACAGAAAACAGTAACTTATTTGGAATTAAAATAAGATTTCTGTAATTGAAATTTAGTTTATGCACAACTTTATACAGTATGTCAACTGATTAAGGCAGACATGAAACTGAGAACAAAGAGGATTAGTGACAGTGGGAAGTTTTTCAAATTGAGTGTGAGGGCTGACAGATTTTGAATACTCCCATGGAAGAATTTATACTGTCTAATGAGTGTAGTTTTACCATTTTGGTTTAAAAATTATACTCTTGAATCCTTAGCCAAATTAAGTGATTTTGTTTCCATGGATTGATGAGGATGTAGTTTTATAACTGTAGGGCATGGCTAAAATCTAATATGGCAAACACTGGAAAAACACATCCTCTTTTACTTTTAAGGCTCTTCAATTTGTCATTTCTGATTAAGGAATGGATTGGCTCTTCTGGTCAGTCAAATTATCCCAAGAGCTATCTCATTACTAGGAGATTTTCCCATGAGATCACCATCTGTTTTATTCCTATGCATTATGGGCATTTCAGTTTTGATTCTGGGTTAAGACTTGGGCTCTACAGTGCATCACTACCAGACTGTACCTTTAGTAAGGTATCTCAGAAGCCACATGTGAATTGGATCATAGAGAAAGGAATTTTAAAGGGAAATTTTAGCTTAAACTTATCTGCCAAAGACATTATCATTTCTTAATCATTGCATGAGCCACAATTCATATAGTGATTAAATTCATGCTAACTAAAAGATTCAGTCTGTTTCAAGGCTGTTTATTAAAGCAGTTATTCTCTTAAGTAAAAGATGTTAATAGGGAAAATCTTCATACTTACTGGCATAGGGGAAATACAGTGGCAGTTTACCTTGGAAATTTCAATGATGGTGAATTTTTAAATTCATAGTGTCTACTAGAACCTTGTTACTCAAGATTTGGTCAGCAGATCAGTAGCTTGGACATCACCTGGGAAATTGTTAGAATTGCAGACTCTCAAGATTTGTCCCAGACCTTCTAAATCAGAATCTGCATTTGAACAAGACCCTTAGGGCATTTGTGTACACATTAAAATTTGAGAAGTATGAGAATAAAGTATAATTTGGTGGTCATTGGAAACCTGAAGATGCACTCACATCTGGCTCAGGAGGATCTTACTTTCCACTGGTAACAGTGCTTTCAAAAACAGCAACCTGCAGCACAGAATTTTTTTTTTTTTTTTTGTATTTTATCCTGGGGTTACATGGCTTATTTTTAACTAAAATATTAAGATGAACTAAGAACATATAACATTGTAGATGATGTTATAATTTTGAAAATATGTAACTAAAATACTGGTAGGAGCAACTTTCTAAATGGGAAAGACTTCTCCCTGTCTGATCTTCCCTTACATCAACACATCCATGTTCTCTTTGTAATACTGAATTTCTTCTCTGAATAAAGCCCAGGCTGTCCCCTTCTCCAGAAGGCACACAACATTACATTTAGGGGCTGAGATAATGGAACTGCTTCTTCCACATATCTCTAATGTGAAGTGTTTGGAAGAATTAATCTAATTTACATTGCACTTACAAACAACAAATAACACCTTTTAAACATGCTATAGAAAGATTAATTGGAAATTTTTGGAAAGAATAGTTTTTCATTACTTTGTTTCTCCTTTATTTGAAATCTCTGAACACCTAAAGTATGCTAGAGTAATGTAGCTCTATAAGGGGCAAAGTCCTCTATAGCCTGGCTGTCATATACTTCTTCCTTTGCTTCAATAAACATGTATTAGTTATCTACTGTGTACCGCAAATGAGAATACAGACTAAATCTCCATTCTAAAGTTGCTTGCAATCTCATAGAGAAGAAGGTCAAAGACAGCAGTACAATGCCATATTGTAAATGCTATAATAGTATTGGCAACACATGATGGAAAATAGAGAAAGAAGGGGCTAATTCATTCCTGGGAATCGGAGACTGATTAATAAAAGAAGTGACGGCCGTTGGCATCTTGTTAGTGTATGATTTATGATACAAATATGCACAAATGTTGGCTTGTGCTCTTGGAGAAGGTAGTTGAATGAATCTTTAAGTAGAGCCAAGCCTAATATTGGCAGGTTCGATTAGACTGAACATTGTCCAAAATATAATTTGATAGACAAGATTAGAATGAAATGATGTCTGCTAACATAGTAAAACAAAAGTAAATGGTCCCATGAATGAGTCTGAATGATTAGCATTAAAATATTCCCCTCCACGCCCTGAGCAGTTGTAATATTTGCTGCAATGGAGATAGCGGGGCATTAGTAGGATAATCATAAAGATAACAGCTGACATCTGCAGTTTATAAAGTACCTTCATACTCATTATCTCATTTAATTTTCACAATAACCACATGAGGTAGGTGCTATTTGCATTTCTTAGTTGAAACATTTGTCAAAGTAAGTAGCAGACCCTGGATAGGAAACCAGATATTTAAGACTCCAAGGTTAATATTCTTTCTTCTAGAACTAGAGCTCTCAAATCTCAATAGAAGTATAGAAGTCTCTATTAATTCCAGATGTTATAAAGAAACTTCTCCCCTGGCCCGGGGCAGCTTCATTGGTGAGCATTTCTGAAAGGCTGGTATTGAAAGTTGGGCTTTTCCTCTAAAACAGAAGCTCTTATTTCCCCTGCCAAATCCAGTACTCCTTCTTTACCCATTATCTTAGGGTAACCAGCACACTATGGTGATTGAAAGTGGGAGATAAAGGCATAATGGAATTGAAAATTACTCTCAGGTTTTTAACTTGAGCATGGATGAATGGTGGAGCCTTTAAGGGAGATCAAGAGTAAGCATGGACTTGGGTTTCAGGAGCAGACCGAGTCATAGTACTGTGAAATTTGGGAATTTGGACCAATTTAGGTCCTGTTTGTCATCACTAAGTGGTTAGGCATAGCACCAGGTGTCTTGAGTAAGTGGCCCTCCTGGAGCTGAGAGTCCTGGGTTATGGTTGGGTATTGTCCATCTCAGTTGGAGGGGGACCTGACCACTGCCTGGAACACAAGCACAGTTGGAGGAGTTCGCACCAGTCAGAGAGGATGTCACCTTTCAGCCAACAGTCTGATCAATGCAAGGGGATTGAGAGACAAATCAGAAAACCAGGGCTTAGAGCTAAGTCAAGTGGCCTGGGCTAACATGGCAAGGTCAGGGGAAAAAGAGTCATGTTAATGACATACAGGAATCCTATTTTTTTAGGCGGAACCCAGTACAAAGTATGTGTTGAAAATAGAAAGTTCTGGGGCGCCTGGGTGGCTCAGTCGTTAAGTGTCTGCCTTCGGCTCAGGTCATGATCCCAGGGTCCTGGGATCGAGCCCCGCATCAGGCTCCCTGCTCGGCGGGAAGCCTGCTTCTCTCTCTCCCACTCCCTCTGCTTGTGTTCCCTCGTTTGCTGTGTCTCTCTCTGTCAAATAAATAAAAATCTTTAAAAAAAAAAAAAAGAAAATAGAAAGTTCCTCCCAGATATGTCCAGCTTATGATAAAAATCACTTGCTTTTAATTTTTTTTGATGTTAGGTAAGAGATTTTGAAACACTCCAGCATTATTTAGGGCTAGCTCAGGAATCATCAGGTTTAAGTTCACAGGTTTGGGCAAAGCTGAGGAAAGTGTAATTTGTTCTGTTCAATAGGAATGGATTATCACACATATTAAAACATAATTTATATCATGTATTAGTTTACTAGAAATACAGTCCAGTGGCAAAAATCAAATCCATCAGATTTAATATAAAATTCTTTGATGGTATTTGTGGTCCCTCAAAGATGTCCAGGTCCTAATCTCTAGAACCCATGAATATGTTACCTTATATGGCAGAAGGGACTTTGAGAATAGGATTAAGACTAAGGGTTTTGGGATAAGAAGATTATCCTGGTTTATCCAGGTGGTCCCAATCTGATCTCATGAGTCCATAGAATCTTCTGGCAGCAGGAGAAAGACTCAATGAGCCATTGCTAATTCTGAGATACAGGGATCTGCTTTTAAGGAACTGAATTCTGCCAAGACCCATGATGATCTAAGAAGAAGATCCTTCAGAAAGGAACATAGCCCAGTCAATGCCCTCATTTTAGTCTGATGAGACTGACCTGCTATGTCTTTTGGGCAAAGTGTATAACCTCTTCATGCTTTTATTTTCTCTTCTGTAAAATTGAGATGGTAGTACTTTTCTCATAGGGTGGCTGTGAGAATTAAATGTTGATGAGAATTAAATGATGGCTTCCAGTGGTCAATATAGAGGAAGAATTCAATAAATGGTGATTATGATTTTTTTGTTGTATTCTACAATTGCTCCTTCTGCTGCTATCACCATTGCTACCATAATCAAATTGAGGAAAACAGGTGTTTTGGAAAAGTATACATACCACAGTTAAGTTAAAACTCAGACCCACCTTACTACCTGGAATTTATTATGGTCCAGTACCTACTGTTTAGCAGTTAACTTTGCAGCTGGTTCTGTCTGTGTCTCATATCTCATCCTGATGAACTTACTCAGTCTGAGCCAATTTTTAT